TCAGTTTTAACAACCATTCTTGTATTGTTGGTAGTGTCTGAGTTTTCCAAAATTGTGCATACAAAAGTCTTGCTGCGGTAATCATGTATTGGGTAATTCTAATAAGATGCTTTCTGATTTGAAAGTCCATTATCCCCAACAGGAAGAGTTCTGGTTTAAATGGGATCTGTATTTGTAGTATGCTCTGCATCAAGGTTTGTATTTGAGTACAAAATTAAAAGGTGTTCTTTTCCATCAAACAGAATGGGAATAGTCAAGTAAGAAAAGCAGAGGTATTGACGGCGTAACAGTGCTCATTACTCAGAATCTAAATGATGGTTCCATTTTTAGACGCAGTTTCTTAGGCGGTCCAACAATAGCATCCCATGCTCTTTGGAAATGTAAATAGTGACCACCATCACCACAAAAGCTTCATTTCACTCCATTTTTCATGTTTTCTATCACAACTTTGTTTCCTCTGGTTTCCGAGCCATACATAAGCTATTCAAGTCCACAGGAAACGTCACGTGTGTTTGCATGCATTTATCTGCAGCTTCCCTTCAAATAGTGCAGTGGTATATGAATATTTCAACTGCAAACGGTGGTACAAAATTTGTAAAAACAGCCATTTGGGTGTTCCAATTTGCATACAGCAGAGGATCACAATGGAGTGCCAACCAAATGCTCAAATGGTTTCACCAGTTGCCGTTGGAATAATAGAATTGTTCTTTCGTAGCAGAAATGGGAATAATCCAAAGTATCAAACTGATCCAGTCAGTTAACTTCAAGGAGATTACGTTTAACCTTCTACAATTGTGCACAGCATTAACTCCCCTTGGTCACCTTTGTCGTGGGAATGCTGACAGTGGGATTAACCAATCCTTACCTCACTTGAAATCAAGACAAAATCCTAGAGGGGCCCTGAAAAAGAGGGCCACAATGTTCTTCTATCCCTCTGGTTTCAGGTTTCTATTCCATCATACAAAAAGGTACAATTATGCAGAAATGGGAACATTTTTATGTTTCTTTTTCCTCTCTCTTGAGAAGAAAAAGAGAGAAAGAAAGGCAGGAAATGACAGCCCAGCAAGCTTTTTACTGTTGCAGCTGGGAGGATTGTAAAAAATGGCTGGTACAACTCAAGATCTAGCCCTGTGTTTCTCAAACTTGACAACATTAAGACATATGGACTTCAGCCCCCAGAATTCCCCAGCCAGCATGCAGGCTGGGGAATTCTGGGAGTTAAAGTTCACAGGCCTTAAAGCTGGTCTAGCCATTCCCAATGGTGTGTTACCAGCATGTACAGTGGCTCCATTGGCTGGAAACAGGGCCACTGAAATCCAGCCACCATACCTGGGGTTGAGCAAAGAGAAGATGAAGCTGGTACCACTACATTATTTTTGAAAGGCAACTTGTGAAGGTAGAACCCCACACAAGAAGATGATGCAAGCCCTGAGGAATTAAGTATATGCAATATAAGTGGAGTTTGTTTATTTGCATTTAGGGGGAAAGCCAGAATACCCAGGAAATTATTTATTCTGAAAGCTGCATTTGTTTTGTTACTCATAGCTGAGATTATTTCACCAGCCATTCCTGTAACTTTTTTTATTATTATTATTATTATTATTATTATTATTATTATTATTATTATTTCCCCAATGTGCCTAGGACACTGCATATTGGGGAAACGGCTTGGTTTGGCAGGATGAAAGTGAACAGCTGCCTTTTTTCCCTCCAAACTGATAATAAGTCTCCCGCTCCTTCCTCCTCACATGGAAAGTTGTCCACTAAAGGGAAAAAAAAAAATAACACCAGAAAGATGGACAGATCACATTCAACTAGCAATCAATAATCAGTCACAGAGCTGAAATCCACTTGTGCAATGATTGTGTATAGAGTAGAAGTGTGTCATTCATTTTTTTGAGTAAACTTACCGAGAGCAGAAAACACACTTTTCTTCATTACGTAAAAATATAAAAAAAACCCCAACCAGATGAGGCCAAAGGCCCATGTCTGTACAACAGACTAGCTGATCAAATGCATTCTGGAAGCTCACATAAATGGGGGATAATCTCCCTCCTCCAGTGTTGCTCCCCAACAATTGGTATTTAAGATATGCTTCCTATGGCCCCGGAGATAGCACAGAACTATCAAAGCTGGTGGCCACTGGAGACTGACCCCTTATCTACTTCTCTTTCAAAGCCATCTAAATTGGTGGTCATCAACCGTGATGGCAGCCCCAGCTATGTATTGTGTAAATAAATATTTCCTTATTCACTTTTATGTCTCCCAGTTCATGGGACATGGAATTTCCAAAAAAGGCAATATATGGTTTCTTGGCAATTTTAATGACAGCAGAGACCCTTGAAGAATCTAATTCAATGAGGATAGCATATTTGACTCGCTGAAAGTAACGTTCACATGAAATAACTGTACTTGCTATAAAGATAATAAAGGACAAGGAAATTGTCAATTCAAGGTGTACTTATCTTGGGCATATTCCATCAATTCTTCTCAGAATTTACAAGCAAGCCAAATTAAATCTTGAGAAGGCAATCCAGAGTTTGAGCAATACAAGGAGACAATTCCCCTTCCCGTGATCATAAACCAATAAAGAAAACAGCAAACTTAAGAAACCAGTTTGCAAGAAATAAACATATTTTCATGCAGGACATCTCAGCATTGTTTTGTATACTCCAGAATTTAAAAACAAACAAAAGCATAGACTGAGGTCTTATTTAAAATATCTGTTAACACTTAAAGATTATTTATCTCAATGAGGCTGAGCTAGAATGCTCTTGCCATTGCCTTGGAAGTAACCTGGGTCCAAGCAACAGAGATTAATTCACCAATACTTCTCCCAGCTTTATGACATCACATGGAAACAGCACCCTTTAAACAATGCTCAAAGTTCTATATCAACCAGCCTCCAGGAGCTTCCATGGCAAGAACTGGACCATCTCCTGATGACCACACACCATGGAACACACACTAAGTGGCTGAATGCATATGTCAACCATGTGACCGAACTTCTCGTAACAACGGCCTACAGCATCATGGATGATGCTGCCATCCTTAAAAAAAGAGGCTACATCATGGGAGGGAATTTAGGAGAGGGATCTTATGCAAAGGTGAAATCTGCTTTCTCAGAACGGCTGAAATTTGATGTAGCTGTAAAAATCATTGACCGGAAGAAAGCACCTCCTGATTTTTTGGAGAGGTTTCTTCCAAGAGAAATAGACATCTTAGCCAAAGTGAACCACCGCTCTATCATAAAAACGTATGAGATCTTTGAAACTTCAGATGGCAAAGTGTACATTGTGATGGAGCTTGGCGTCCAAGGGGACTTACTAGAATTCATCAAGTCTAAAGGGGCAATGCCCGAAGACATCGCTCGTAAGATGTTCCGTCAACTGTGTGCCGCTATTAAGTACTGCCACGATGCTGACATAGTGCATCGTGATTTGAAATGTGAAAACCTTCTCCTAGACAAAGATTACCACATCAAGCTTTCAGACTTTGGCTTTGCTAAACGCCTGGTTCGTGATGACGATGGCAAAATTATTTATAGCAAAACCTTCTGTGGTTCTGCTGCTTATGCAGCTCCTGAAGTATTGCAAGGCATCCCTTATGAGCCCAAGATTTATGACATGTGGAGTCTGGGTGTCATCCTATACATCATGGTCTGTGGTTCTATGCCTTATGATGATTCAAACATCCGGAAAATGCTACGGTTGCAGAAAGAACATAGGGTGCATTTCCCCAAGTCCAAAAATCTGACCGTTGAATGTAAAGATCTTATTTATCGCATGCTTCAACCCGACGTGTCCCGACGGTTGCGTATCGAAGAGGTTTTAAGTCACATATGGATGCAGTCCAGCAAAGTTAGAGCTTTATCAACAACTTCTGTTGGGAAAAATGGAGAAAGCTCACGGACTACGGGTGAGCAAAAGGCAGAGCAGAGATCAGAAGGGGAGCAGAACAAAACTGAGTCTAAACAAGCCACCGCCGCCACTGCCACCGCCGTCGCCCCCCGACTGGAAGTGGTTGAAGAAGTAGAGGAGGTGTCTGAAGGAGATAAGCAGGACGAAGTGGAGAAAATCGCAGAGGTGTTTGAAACAAACCTCTAACGTTGTTCCACCAACAGATGCCCTTGCCCCAAATCAGCAAGAACATCATGTAACAGGTAGCCCAGGTAACCAACTGGAGAAAGTGGTGTGTGGGGTAAAGATAAGAGCCAAACAGAAGAAGCTATCAGAAACTAAAGACGATACTGAAAAAGGGTTACTGTATGTGAAAGGCCATTTTATTAAATATTTTTTAAATGGATAAACCTTGGGCTGTAACTGGCAACTACTGATGAATCTTACCCATACATGCAGAAGGCAAGAAGATGTAGTTAAACCACCCAAAAACCCAGCCTAGAAGCCTCTGAAAAAAGCCTCTGCAAACAGAAGCTGAGCAACAACTGGAGAGCTGGTCTCCCACTCTAGCGTCATTTATTTACTTACAAAGATTCATGTGCAGCTCCAGGCCAAGGAAATGGGTGACAAACCCATCCTAATTCTCAAAGGATGGAGGGTCAGGCCTTACTTAAGATAAGGAAAAAGCAGGTGGTAGCTAAAAGACTGTTAACTCCACAAAAGCCATTCCAACTTGGCTTAGTTGTCCTACTAGAAATATCCCACAACAATGCAAAAACACTAGCTATCGATAGACAGCCGCATCGTTTGGTGTCATTATCCTGACTATCATCATAGAAACTTTAACCAGAAAAGGACGTCAATGGTCCTGTTCCCTTGATGTCCCCAGTACTGAGCTGATTCAGGTATTTTGATGGGGGAAGTTTAGCACTATGTCACAGCTACCTCATCTAACTAAAAAATGCTCTTTTCCCAAAGAATGCTACACAGCATCCACTAGGTTCCTATGACCAGCTAGATCATAGATGTTGGTGGATCCATATTTCAATCTAGATGGGCATGGGGCTTTCTTCCACCAATTTTCTTTACTGTTGTTTTTTTTTAGCTATTCCTTCGGTGAAATGACTCATGATCTCACAGATGTTAGGCTGAAATGGTCCTTAGCCCAGCCAACATGCTATTTGCAATTTGTAGTTCAGCGGGTTTCATCAGTTGGCAAAATAAATACTGTTCTAACAGACCACCAATAGTTATCATCTGACAAGCAGACTATAACAACAGAAGCTGGGTACAGCAGGATTACATATTGCGGTTCAAGTGCCTCCTTCCTATCTTACTCTCCATGAATCTTAGAATACAAAACACCAGATGGTTCCCATTTAACGTGACAGTAGAAGACATGGGAGGCTAATCCTTCTCCTGCTTTTTTTTTTTTAATTTTACAAAAATCAAGGCTTAGTTTGCCCAACAATAGATAATGGTGATTTGTATATTGCTACCCTGAGTTAATAGCACTTTCTTTAAAAGCATCACAGGGTCTCACTACTCCAGCAAAACTGTTGGGGTGCAAAACTGCTGTTCACTTTAAATCATGCCTATTACCATAATTGTAAAGAGAACTTACGGCTTTGAGGGAGGTTAGGGAGTTGCCCCCTTAAGCTTCTCAGGTTGACCTAACATGCTGAAAACTCCCCCTTCTCTTTTTCAGCACCCCTTTGGCCAGAATCCTAGCTTTCACCACTCAAGTTCAAAAAATAAAACTATTCGTTTACATGTATAATGACTTAACACATTTTATCCCACCCTTCCCATTCTGTTGTAGCTTTTCCGCCTCTCTGGGGAGTATCATCTTCCAGCTGAAATCAGCCAGGGTTTCTATGCTCCTTTATTATTAATATACAGTCACAGATCAAAAAACCAGAGTTAAAATACAACGCATCCAATATGAAAGCCCCATTCATAAAAGAAACATTTGCAAGCATAATTGGATTTGGTCTGAATCTTGTGACTTCTAACAGCAATTGCTTATAGCACAGAATTCAGCCGCTTTTCTGGAAACGTGAGAATGCTGATCATTCAGCAAGAAATGCAGAGTTGTCTTCTGAGTCTAACCCAAAGAGTTGATGAATTAGAGGAAAGCTTAGCTTCTAGCTCTAAGAGCAACGTGTGGGACAATTCAAAAGTACCTAAGCAGCTGATTCAATTTCAGTATCTGAACCTAAGAAGAGCCGTGGTGGAGCAACCCACCAACCCCAAGAACGTGCTAAAAAAGTATTTGGGAGTGACAAGGGGCCGATAATAAACTCCTTGTAGCAGAGATGTGAGTATCAGCTCTATTCCTCTACACATCAAGATCTAAGGTTCCCTGCTTTTTCCAGACCCAGTATAGACATGGAGATCGTATTTCCATTTGTCTACAGGGAAGCGTGACTGTCAGTATAAACTCAGCTTAGAACTCGCTCCCATGTATTTGTATCAGCCTGTACTTAAACAGATGGGTTATCCTGGATCTTGGATCTATCCAAGACCCTAACTGTAGGAGTGTGTGTGCCACGAGTGGGGAAGTCTGAGGCGAGATCTCAGAAATTCAGACCCAACTGCTTCCATGAAAATACAACAATGCAGATTAGATGTACGAATGACAGAGTATTGATTGGACCTACTCCAACAAAGGAGTCGCGCAGGGATATTTCTTGGCTCCCCTTTTAATTTTTATATTAATGAACCTGTGAGCTCTTACCAAACCCATTTCCATCTCTGGCTCACGATTCACTCTCCTGCTTCTCCTATCATAATGGACAGTATCCAAAGAGGACAGCCATGAGATCTTTGCCCACTAGAGCGAAACACTGGAAATCAACCACTCAAAAAACTAAAATGTCATATTTATTCAGTGTCATATTAGTCACCCTCATACCTAGAAAATCAGCAACATCCAAATTGAGCATATTAAAGCCTTTATGCCTAGGCCTTTATTTTCAATCCTTCAATCCAGGAAGTCATTTCAATCTGTTACTCTTAAGCTGCGGGTGCAAAAAAGCTTCAGACACATTAACCAAGTAGGGAAGCTGCAAAGGGCATAACTACGTGCCTGCAACAAATCACTCAAAGCCAAAGTACAGTCTCCTGCTGAATGGCAATGCTATCTGCCAGATGTTCAGCTTGTCATGTTCTTCACCAAGCTTGCTACAATGAGCTTTTAGCATAGAATTTGTTCTTTCACTGGCACCAGTTATAGTAAGGGTCACTCTTATCTTTGCTGCCCCGTTCTCAGATTTTTGTTTTGGCTTTGAAGTTTTGTTAACAGGCTTTCAAAACCTTGCCCAGCTCTGCATGTGCTTTTGGGTTTATGCTGGACCGGATCCAAAGTACAGGAGACCACCGGCAGGGCTGCTCAAAGCGAGATTAAGTTAGACCTGATCAACTGGATCCAATCCAAGTTTTATGAGCCCATAAGCTTTAGAAATCCGAGCTAGCCTACTTTCTACAAATAAGCAAGCCTCTCAGGATCTCTGTAGGAGAAGAATGGAAGAATATCAATTATTTTTGCTTCCTGTGAAGCAAAAACCTTTCTCAGCTCCCAGGCCAAGAGAAACATACCATACCTTTAGTCAGTCTCTAAGGCGAGGACGTGCTGCCAAGCTTAACCAGGTGCAGACACCTTGCCAACCGTGCCAGGCCACTGAGATGCCAAGGCAGCAACACAACGCCCCACCTGGAAGCTAGCTCTTCCTGAGTTTTTCATCTCACGACGAGGGGCGCCAGAGCCGCACCACAATGCAAATTTCTGCCAGGCCTTTAGGTTAAACCTGTCTTTAATAAATTAAGAGGAGAGCACCCCAAGGCAAAAAGGAAACTGCATCCAAAAGGCTGGTGCTGTGCAAGCAATTTTGGCTACTGTCTTCCTCTTCCTGTGCAACCGATCCAGAGGTTTACAAGAGGGAATGTTCAACTCAAAGGATTGCTCTCCACCTGCTACTCCTCACCTCCTATAAAGAGCTAGGGCAACTCAGCACTATAAGGCAGAAACTATCCTGAACCCAAGCAAACTTCTCCTGTTGCTTTTGGTCAACGGTGGGTGTGTTTCTTCAGCAGCATTGATATAGCGGGGCACTGCCAAGCCCCCGCCCACACACACACACAAGAGGACAAGGTCAAAAGAAGTCCGACGCTTTACGTCTTTTGGGGAGTTGCAGCAGATTGTCCGTAATGGAGGCGGGATCCTGAGCGACTGGGGTTTGAGAGAGCGTCCTGGGGGTTGGGGTGACCGTGGGCGTCTGCAGTCCGCCGGAGGGCGTCTTGTAGCCGGGGGTTCCCAGGTGTGCAGGGGACGGGGTGTAACTGGCTCGCAGAGCTTTGTCAGTGAACTTGCTAGCAGTCCGGTTCACTAGGCGCTGCAAGGCGGGAGACATGGCCGGGCTTAGCCCTTTTGGAGTGAGGCTGGAAGGGGGAAAAAAATTAAGGAGCTCAGACGAGAGGCTCTGTTAAGTGTCGGTCAGTCCATGTCTAGGAGACTGCATCCAGTTCTGGACGCGGCAGTTTAAGGAAGACTGAGAAACTGGAACACCTCCAGAGCAGGGGGACCAAGATCAGGAGCAACTTATGAGAAAGGGCTGGAGGGACTGGGTGTGATTGTGTTAGAGAAAACTAAGGTGTTTTGGGTTTTTTTTGCTGGACTGGATATTTCCAAGAATTTCATCCTGGGATACCATGCAGAACAGCTACCTTGGTTTGAGCCTAGAACTCAATGGCCATTCCAGAGGCTGAATATCTAACAGGGGTTGAGACACTTGTTAGCTTCAAATTCTTCAGCCCGTTTTATTTCCACCTTTACGGATCTCTCACCTGGCAAGGTTCTCGGTGACCCTCCTCAAGGCTTCTTGCTTCTTGGCTCTGTTTTTAGCAGCTGCCTCATTGGCCATCTTCAGCCCAAGCCTCTCTCGGCGCCCAGGTTCCAGGATCTGTGAAAATACCAGATGATTGGACTACCAGTGCATTTCTGAGACTGATCCTTCCAACTGTAGCTTAATCCACCTCACACCTTTCTCACTTGCTGTGAGAGACATACCAATAAGTACGTCTAGCGCAGCTCCAGAACCTATTTTCCAAACGCTTTGACAAAGCGCCATCCAAATCAGAGCACCTAAGTGTCAGCTGCTGCACCAGCTCAACTATTTATTTCATGGTTTATCGAGACATAAATGCGCTCTAGGTAGTCACTTCCGGGGAGGAGTGGTGAATTGATGTCCCGTGCTCTGTGGGAGACACTGCAGCCAAAAGGCAGCTGGATGTGGGATCCAGACTGCTGATAATTCTCTCTGGATCAAAGAGAGATCTTGAGATCACTCTCATGCACTCCGGATAGCTGGTTATTTTTTGTTGTTGGGGGTTCTTTGTGTGAGTCAACCACAGAAACCGACATTTTTGCGGTCGCTTACGATCAGCTGGGAGTCGCGAGTTTCATCATGCTCTGAGCCATTAAGGTAGCCTTTTCATGGACTCAAAATTCAACCAAACCTCATCTTTTTAATCATCTCCGAGTTTCATTTTTTTTATTGTTTAAGATTGAAAAACCTTCGGAACTGCAAGTTGGGCATTCGCTGGGTGAGTCTCTCTTAAAACCATTTAAAAAGAAAGAAAACTGTGTTTCTAGCTTTGTAAGATCTCTATTTTTTGCAATATATAACAAAAGGGGGACTATAGTGTTGTCTTTTTGGAAAGTTTTGAAATGCTAAGGATTCAGATGGAATCGATTTAAAGAAAGACTTGGAAGTTAATTAAAAAGATCCTCTCATGCGGGAAAACATTTCACGTTTATATTTTGACCTGATAACAAAGCTTTGAAGGTTAACCCCTAGAGGGCACGGGATGGCTACTTTAAAGGAAATGTTTTATAAGTTGGCTCAAGAAGTGCTTGGGCTATATAACTCTATATTGGAGCCAAAAGATGTTGTCGAAGAGGAACAAGTGCCTTTGAATAAAATGGAAATGGACATTAAGGTGGACATAAAAATCATAATCCGCAAAAAAGAGATGGAAATACTGGATTTACAAATGGAATTGGATGATCATTTAAGAATCAAAAAAATATACAAATAATGTATCAAAGAAGGATGTGGATTATCTGTTTAAATTGGAATATAAGAGACTTACTGAAGGGGCTACACAGAAATTACAAATGGACTTTGATAAAGATGGCACGGATTTCGAGAGAAGAGACAAGGATAGCAAAAGAAAGCAGATGTTAGAAGTTTATCTACAGGATTTAAGGATACTTGGGAGGAAGAAGAAAAAATACAAAACTGGTTTATTTGATTATGGTTAAATAATAGGTTGCTATCTCTGGTGATGTTTAATGGATACTTTGACCGGATAGGTTTTTTTTTTTAAAATGTTCAATTGGGTGTAATGGGTTAGTTTGTAATATCTATGTTACTATTTTTGGTATATAAACAAGGGATTATTATTTCTGGTAATGTTTAACAGCTTTTATTTTTCTATAATGTTAATTGGGATTAGATTTTGATCATTAAGAAAGGGATTAGGAGGATTATGTTTAAATGGAAAGGGGGACTAAATACTTAGGTTGTTAACTGTATCTGTTAATTTTTACACCTTTTGTTGATTAATAAGGAGAGTTGGGGATTTTGAGATGGGTCTCCAGAAAATGGGGTGAAGTACAGAATGAAGATGTATTTGGTAGTATTTTAAGAGACAGTGATAAGTTGTTATTATTGAATATACTTGCTGGGGATGAAAGGGGAAGTTTCTTATCTTTTTTGGGGGGGATTCTTTCTTTCTGCACTTTCTTAATATCATTTTTTTTCTTTTAATGGATTTTTGTATTAGATTCTTGTATTAGATTTACCTGTTTTATATAATCTTTAATAACATTACTGGGAAAAAAAGAGAAATATGCCACTAGTTAAAATTACTGAGGGCTG